CCCCCAACCTGGAGGACCAGGAGACTTCTTCTGACCTCTACCCGTTGACCTTCCAGGCATGATAAGATCCCCTGGCTTTATAAAGCCATCCTGTGTAGCTTTTTGGGTCACAGAGGTGCACAAGCCATCACACTACGTCAAGGTGTAGTCTCGTCGTGATCATAAACATCGTTCGTTCATTTGCAAAACACGCGTGAATCTTGGCGGAACTGCTCTTGTACGGCAACGAACGGAATGCAATACACCTAAATCACGTAAACAGTCACTGAAGAGAAAACTGCTGTATGACAGAGACCGAATCCTCTTGAAGTTGGGTGAATACCTTGACACATGAGTGTAAGGCTCAACATGGTTGGGGCTGGGTGTTTAGGGTTGCGGCTGATCACTCTTCCTTTGTACCTCGTGGAATGTTTCCATACGACCGAGAGTCTCAGATAGCTGCTTCTGAGAAAGCCCCACTCACTGACACCTCGTAGCGATGTTTTCCCACCACGAATAGCCGAAATCCGGGGCCATAGCCGGGTTGGTGGACCAATGGCAGTTCACCTAGGGGAGTTGGCCAAAAGCCTTGATTCTAAACCAATCAAGAGGAAGCGTGCGAACCACACACACCTTGGTTGTGGCAGTGGTCACCGGCTCAATTGAGCTACAGGGTGTATTGGGTACCTTGGATGTTTGACCCCGTCCGAAGGGCGTATGGTCCGATGAACTGGACACCGGCTCCCAATGGATTGCGGTTCTCACACACCGCCTCGCTGCTTTGCGGATCAGGCTTTGGCTAGCTGAAGGCTCCGGTTGGGGATTCCTCATGAAAATTCACTTACCTTGACCTGGGCAACCTGACAGTATTCGGCCCACATGCGAACCATGGAAAGCTTTTCTTTTTATAAAGATGATTGTATCATGATTTTTTTGCACAGTCTGGTATCAGACGTGTGTGAAATATATATATATATCATAAGTAGTATGTGAATGACTCGACAAAATTTCCCTGGAAGCACAGGACCGGTTTTGCGGTCCGTGCCGCTCGTCAGGCATGCGTATCCGGTAATCTATTGCCAGTTCATTTCTATACTTGTACCCAGGAAGTATATTTTCGACACAACCTTGTTTGCATCACCGAGTGACGTTTGGATAGACAGCTCTTTCAGAGCCAGTCCACTGAAGAATCAATGCTATGATTCAATGTTTTTGTAAGTGGGTTAGATGCTACTAACCGGAACAAACGTGACGACTAAATTTAATAGTCAGTGAAAGGAGCTGTTGACCTGCAGACGAGACAATGAACCCTAAATGATCCGGTTAACAGTTATCCGTTGTCTGCTTCAGAACTGACAGGAAACCTATTAACGTATGGTGCGTATTAATCGCTGACTGATTTACCTTCGAACCTTCAAAATCTGAAAACTGCTTTACTTTCGTGGAAACCTATACATCTCAAATTCCGGTAGGAGTCACATTGTAAAGAAGTATATTACTGAGTTCTAACTACTGCAGGTACCTAAATATTAATTTCTAGAATGTAGCAGCTTACCTGTAGAAAATGTACATCAGCTAATACAAAATTTACATGTACAACACAAAAAGGCCACTATTACTCACCGCAAACTGCTTTTGTGCATCAGAAGCATCGCTAAGCAGAATTTCACAGGCATGCTTTTCCTGCTCCTCGATGAAATCATACGGAAATACAAGACTGAACTCGCCCAACAGACGTGCTTCAAGTGCAGCTAACTGGATGTCTGTAGTTGATTGCCTATTGAGTAGCTGATTAGCGAAGCGCCGACAGTAACCGTGAACGCTCATGAAATCCACTTCCGTAAGACAGCCTGCGAATAAGTTTATCAAAAAAAACAAATTGGTACAGATACAAAATTGATATTGCAAACAAAAAAGCATTTGAGCGAGCACGCGTCCGCGTAACATCACAAAAATAGAAATTACAGCAAACATTTTCAGAGAAAACTTGAACCAAAAACGTGCAAATGCGATTTAGCGCGATTCAATTCCGGAATCACCTCATGGCATCTCACCTTCTGTCTTCTGAAGAAAACCGATAAGTTAATGAACAACAAGCTGTAACATCGATTCAATACTGCTCATGGGCATACATGTTATGTGATATAAATACAGATAGTAGGTGCCTGTATGAAGGTTACAGGTAGCCTTTTGGGTGGCTGGTTTCCCCTTTCTAAAAATCATCCTTACTCAACAAAAGAAATCAAAACTGGAACAATAAAAAGGTGCATCACTGAAGGAAAATGACGGATTGTACTGGTAACGTCATTTTGCTATTTATACTATCCTCGTGAATCCTTATGAATTTATAAAAGAGACTGACTTATCGTCTCGAAAGAACAAGTGAATTAAAACTTTGAGTTACTTAAATTAAGGTGGACAACTAGCGACGACAGACGGATTAACTGCCTTCGGAATCAGCATCAGGTCATCATCGTCGTACAGTGAACTACAAGGAGGAGCGTCAGGTACACTATATGATTGTTTCCAACTTCAGTCGACGTGTTTTAGTTAGTGGTAGTAGCAAGATGTGTAAGCCCGCCATCACATAAATACATGGTCGGCAAAAACAAATGGATGACCGGATTTCATACAGAATAACGAGAACGAAAGACAATTCCGAAAAGCCCTGCAGCTTGTGACGGATGCTGATGCGCTTTATTTGAGTTTACTGGTGCATTGAGGATGTAGGACATCCAACGATGCTGTGTACAAGGCTGTTTGTGTCCGTTACCCCATAGACCGTGAATGCGGGAAGAGCCCCAAAATGTCTTATTCAGCAAAATCAGACTTAAATGAACAATCTGCATATACGGGGTTCCAATATCAACCGGAACACCTCTAAATTTGTTAGCTAAGAAATCTTCAGTTCCATAAGACTGTCCGAGCACAAGAAATAAGCCGCATTTATACAAAAGTGAACACGCGAATTATCGGTGTTCAAATGCAAGTGTGGGCTATGAACTAAATATAAAATATAAATGTCTTTTTACTTTTTTATTTATTGAATATACAAATGTACAGGGGTCTGCGGCCATACAAAGACTATCTGGGGAAAATACAGAAACAGGAAAGACGGGCGGCGGTGAAGCGGTTCGAACCCGGGACGTCCGGATCATAAGTTGGTGACCTAACCACTTGGCCACTACCGCCCAAACAAATTTAGCAGCGTGGCCTCGGTCTTTAAAGCGGACGTTTCTTTAACCGGTGTTACAGAAAAAGCAAGCAAAACTCTACATTGGGTATCAGTCAAGTTCCCAATTGGACTGCATTCTCGAATATGTATCGCTTGCATGTATGGCTGAGGGTTCAAGTACTAATCCTACCCGTTTGCGAATATCCTTAATAAGGAACCCTTGGATTCAAGAAATAAATAAAATATGAGATGGGTGGAATTTTCTTAGAAATGATCACATCATCAATGAAACCACTCCGGGATGGTCATAATGGCCATTATATCCCTCGCCTTCTGGATTGAAAGGCAGTTGAGACTCATCCTGTATGAGCCTTCTGTCCTCCGAATCCGGACAAACTACCCATCAGCTTGCCGCCTGATTAATAGAAAATCATCCGGCCTCTGTTTGAACTTGTCATCATTTTCCTCTTCCAACACATCCACCGGGAGAGGATTCCAAATGTTGGTCACTCTCCTGACTAGACAGTACACTGACGGAAGTCTGTATGACTCCTGCTTCCGAAGCGTGAAACGGTGACGACGAGTACGTGCATCACTGCGTAATGGAAACTTTTCTTTCAGCTCCTCCCCCAGATCACTGCAGATAATCTTCCTGGTCAGCAGGATGTCACCACGAAGGCGTCGGTAACTCTCCATGTACAAGTCAGTAATGACAAGACGCTGGTCCTCGCACACCCGCGACAAGACGGGCAGCTGCTCGTTGTACATGTTTAATCTTCACCAGCTCTNCCAGCTCTCTCTTTGTTACGGGAAAAGCTGCCGCTCCCCCACACTCCAGACGAGGACGAACCGCCGTGGTGTACGGAGATTGAAGGCCTGCTTCGACAGCGGCCCAAACGATCTACGGATTGCTCCAAGGATACCCCAGGCAGAAGTACATAATTTATCCGTGTGGTCTCTGGTCTTGAGGGACGATGCAATAATCACTCCTAAATCCCTCTTGTGATCACTACTCCTAAGGAGAAAATCATTCAATGTGTAGACCCGTCTGATGTCAGTGAGACTGATTCTCATATATACACATTTATCGATATTGATGGAGAGTACCCACCCTTTCGCCCACTATTTAAATCCGCTGGTAGGGTTGACACGTCTAGAGACGACTGAACTGGTCTCCATAGGTTCAGAAACTTAACAGGCAACCAATGAGAAAATTTAAATGTCACCGGAAACATGACAAGGATTGAGCATTTTATAAACTGATATTTTGCATGCTCAAAGTGATTATTTTGACTTACCCATAGCTAATACCGCTCCCTTTTTCTCCCAAAGCTC